GAAAGATCTCAGACAGGCCCCTACTTTGGCGGTTTTCAGAAAGAACCTGAAAACCTGGCTGTTCCAACGTGCCTTCTCAGATTAGGAACCCCACTACCAAAGCCCAGAAGCACTTTAGTAGAGTCAAGATCACCCTCACCGCACACTGCACTTATATTTTAATCCCATATCCCTCCGACACTTCAGCACTTTTTAATCCTGTACCCTACTCCGGCCGGCTCAGTTTTTAATAATGTCCTGTTGTATTGCTATTGCTATTGTTTTCTGCTTTAACTGTTTTTATTTGCTATGTATTGTATTGTTGTATTGTGTTGGGCTCCGGCCTGTTGTAAGCTGCATCGAATCCCTTGGGAGATGCTAGCGGGGTACAAATAAAGTTATAATAATAATATAATAATAATACAGTAGATAACACGGGGCATCATTCTTAGAAACAATAGTCCATAGTCCAAAGCAGGGTCAACAAACTTTTTAAACAGAGGGCCAGGTCACAGTCCCTCAAACTGTTGGAGGGCCAGATTATAATTTGAAAAAGCATGAATGAATTCCTATGCACACTGCATACATCTTATTTGTAGTGCTCAAAACACTTTAAAACAATACAATAATTAAAATAAAGAACAATTTTAACAAATATAAACTTAGTATTTCAATGGGAAGTGTGTGCTTCTTTTGGCTGATGAAATAAGATTGTTGTTGTTGTTGTGTGCTTTCAAGTCGTTTCAGACTTAGGGTGACCCTGAGGGAGGGCCGGATAAATGACGATGGAGGGCCGTATCCGGCCCCCGGGCCTTAGTTTGAGGACCCCTGGTCCAAAGCATCTCTCTGTTCTGAGAGTCTGATGGAGTCTCTGCCCAGTCTCAAGCATACTTCTCTACTGAAGTCTAAACTGAACTGTTCTAACATGGAGTCTGAGTCCTGAACAAGCCCAGTTCTGATCACATGGTCTGTAGCTCCTTCCACTGCAGAGAGTTATAGTAAAATTGCAAACCAATATACACATATACAGTACAGTAAGCAAACAATTACTGTAGGATTGAGAAGGTTGCTATTTCCAACATATCACAGGTGATATGCATCTAGCCAAGTAACATCTGAGTATGGCCAAGAGGGCAAAACCTATTAATGAGGAAGAAAACACATACTAGGTGCTGCAGTAGTTTCCATTTGCCAGAGCCTTCTGGGAAGAGCACGATTTCACCATTTCTCTTCTCCTCCACCCATTGAATTAATTTACTTTGAATTCCATTTATAGCTAGTGAAGTAAGCCGAGATCTAGAGGGAAAAGGGGGGGGGGGAGTAGGACATTTTCCAAGTAGCTGGAAAAGGGACTGTCTCTACCAAATCAGGGCAGTTGGAAGGCATATGGTCACATATCTCAATCTCTCTCCCTATCATCAGATCAGCACTTGCCATTGCACTTGAAAGCCTTTGATTTTCCTGATGCATACTATAAGTATTTAATGTTTTTAGAATAAAGAATGCTATTTGGCTGAGGATTTTCCCAAGCCTAATTAGACTCGCACTGTTTTGATTTGCAGAGCCACTCCAGGTTCTCTTCAATAATGCATCCTGGTAATAAAAACCTTCCTGTCAAAACCACATTTTTCCATAATTCTTTTTTCCTCCCTTTTTTGTTGTTGAAAAAAACTAGCCCTTAGAGCCTTGGGGCTTCCTATACCTGTGAATCTGACTGCAAACCATTATCTCACAAGCTGGCCAAAGTTCTTTCAGTTGACTTGAAACTTTCTCCTTCCATTTCAAATCCCTTACATTTCCTTTGTGGAAAAAATTCTGCTATGAATCTGCATGTTTTTACATCTTTATTACTTGGGACAGATAAAACAGCTGCAACCACAGGGAAAGGTTGTTTTATTTTAAGACACAGACAGGAAACCTTTCTTGAAATACAGTAGGCCTGCTTATTACGTGAGCTTGTTGAACATGGTTTCATTTATATACAAAGAGCTCTGAATGCCATTCTTACTCTAGAGCAGTGGTTCTCAACCTGTGGGTCCCCAGGTGTTTTGGCCTACAACTCCCAGAAATCCCAGCCAGTTTACCAGCTGTTGGGATTTCTAGGACTTCAAGGCGAAAACATCTGGCGACTCACAGGTTGAAAATAATAATAATAATAATAATAATAATAATAATAATAATAATACTTTATTTGTACCCCACTACCATCTCCCCAAGGGACTTGGTGCGGCTTACATGAGGCCAAGCCCACAGCACATCAATAAACAAAACATCAAATAAAACAATCAATACAATACAATTCATATAAACATAACAAAATAAGCAATAAACAATCAACAGTAACATGCAAACATGTTGAAAACCAATGGCCAGGCCAATAGATTAAAATTAGAATAATGCTGACATGACGTGAGCATTGTGGGAATGCAGTTAGTCCTAGATCAATGGTAAAGTGCATTTTGAAGGCATATTGCTGAGAGTTTCCTTATTCTGGGAAGGCACGCTAGAACAACCATGTTTTCAGGCTCCTCCTAAAGACTGCCAAAGTTGGGGCATGTCTAATGTCCCTGGGAAGTGAATTCCAGAGTCGAGGGGCCACCACTGAGAAGGCCCTCTCCCTCGTCCCCACCAATTGCGCCTGTGAAGGAGGTGGGAGCGTGAGCAGGGCGTCTCCAGATGATTGAAGAGATTGTGTGGGTTCGTACACAGAAATGCGGTCACGCAGATAGGCGAATCTAGAGCAAGGGTCCCCAAACTAAGGTTTGGGGGCCAAATACTGCCCTCCAAGGTCATTTACCTGGCCCCTACTCAAGGTCAACTGAAGTCTGAAATGACTTGAAAGCACACAACAACAACAACAACAACAACAACAACAACGACAATCCTATCTCATCAGCCAAAAGCAGGCCCACACTTCCCATTGAAATACTAATAAGTTTATATTTGTTACAACTGTTCTTCATTTTAATTATTGTAATTTTTTTGCATAAGATAAAATAAGATATGTGCAGTGTGCATAGGAATTCATTCATATTTTTTTTCAAATTATAATCCGGCCCTCCAACAGTTTGAGTGACTGTAACCTGGCCCTCTGTTGAAAAGTTTGAGGACCCCTGATCTAGAGACATTTTCTCTCTAAACCTCTGATGCAATTCTGTGGTCGATATCTGCTGATTTTTCAACCTACTCAGCATGGAGAAACCTCATCCTGTAGCATCTTGCCATTTCCAAAATGGGCCAGATGGTATTCTGCAGACCAGTCATCTTAGACAGTGTGCAGTCACTGCCTAAGATGGCATCACTCCAGAAATCCCAGCCAGCTTACCAGCTGTTAGGATTCTTGGACTTGAAGGCCAAAACATCTGGGGACCCACAGGTTGAAAACCACTGAACTAGAGTATATTTGACCCATGATTTCAAAAATGGCAATAGTTGTCTCCTATCAGCTCTCACTTTAGAGATACAGAACATACGGCATCTACCAGTCGCCATCTATTTGCTCATAGAAAACCATAATAACCATATCTAAGAAACTAGAGCTGATATGGTTTATCCAATGCAATTTTCTGAATCAGTACCCCAAATAACCCCAGAAACGGACCTAAAAATCAAGACACCAAGAATCTTTTGTTGTTGTTAGTCTGTTTAATCTGTATGTTAGTTACAGTCAAGAAAAAATGAGAAAGAAAAATTGAATATATGTGTTTATGTAACTTGAAGACCTAGTTGTAGTTTTATGCAAAATGAGAAACTATTGGCCACTTTTCTTCTCCATCTGTTCAAGTTTGAAAGGACTGCCACAGGGCCACCAAAAATACCAGTTAAATTGTGGATCCACAACTTAGCTATTTATTTATTTACTTACTTACTTACTTACTTACTTACTTACAGTATTTATATTCCGCCCTTCTCACCCCACAGTGGACTCAGGGCGGATTACAATGTACATATACAGTGCCTTAGACACACAACACATATAGACAGACAGTCAGATGTATTTAACATTCCAACTTTTTCTGGCCACCAGGGGAGCTGTCGCTTCACCGTCCATCTGCGACACTGATGAAGTACTTCCTCATTCCCCGCATGCTCGCTGATCTTTATGGCCTCGTAAATTAGTTAATTTAGCCTCCCCACAAAGTGGTACCTAAATTTCCTACTTGACAAATGCGACTGTCTTTTGGGCTGCAAAGGTCAACAACAAGCTACACAAATTTGATTGGAAGCTCACTCCGCCCTGGGCTGCCTTCGAACTCATGACCTTTCAGTCAGTAGTGATCTTAATGGAGCTGACACCCAGCCAGCTGTGCCAAAGTCCCGGTGCTAGCTATCCTTTATTGAATCAATTAATTATAACATATTTATTTATTTATTTAAAACTTTAATATCCCGATCTTCTCAACCTCTGTAGAGGGACTCAGACCAGCTAACAGCAAGGATTCAGTGCTACAGTACAGTCTAAACCAACATATATCAACAGAAAAAAATGCAATAAAATACATATAAGCCAATTTGCCAACAGTAAAATCATGTTCAAACTCAGTCAACATGTGGTCAATAACTTTGTTCAATTGTCGGGCTCTGTCATTATTCTGGGAAGGCCTCGTTCCATAGCCAGGATTTCACTAGCTTCCTGAAGGTCAGGGGGGAGGGGGCGGATCTAATCTCATTCGGGAGGGAGTTCCATAGCCAAGGGGCCACCACAGAGAAGGCCCTGTCTCTCGTTCCCACCAGAGACGATTGCGAAATTGGCGGGACCGAGAACAGGGCCCCACCAGAAGATCTTAACAGCCTTGATGGTTCATAGGGGAGAATACATTTGGACAGGTAAACTGGGCCGGAACCATATGGGATTGGGCTGGCGGAATAGTTTTGGAGCCTTTCTTGTTCATTTTTAGGAAGTTTAGCATGAAATGTTCTACATCCTCAATGTCATTTTTTTAAAAGGAGGAAATGCCCTAATGATCACAAAGCTGACTGCTTTGATTTCCTTTCTTCACCATGTCCCCGCCCCAATTTAGGTTGCTCCAAAGTGACGTGCATCAGCTTAACTCGTGAAGCCTCCATCAAATTGTCCCCGCTGCATGGAAAACAGATTTCTATCCGCTACTTGGACATGAGTGACTGCTTTGTCCTTGAGGATGAAGGACTGCACACCATTGCTGCCCACTGCACGCAACTGACGCACCTCTACCTACGCCGCTGCATCCGCATCACTGATGAAGGCCTCCGTTACCTGATGATTTACTGCACTGCCATCAGGGAGCTGAGTGTGAGCGACTGCCGCTTTGTCAGTGATTTTGGCATGCGTGAGGTTGCAAAGCTGGAGTCCCGCCTCCGGTACCTCAGCATCGCCCACTGTGCCCGCATCACTGACGTCGGCATCCGATACATCACCAAGTACTGCAGCAAGTTGCGCTACCTCAATGCGCGGGGCTGTGAGGGCATCACAGACCACGGAGTGGAGTACCTTGCCAAAAATTGCACAAAACTCAAGTCCCTTGACATTGGGAAATGCCCCCTGGTCTCCAACATTGGCTTGGAGTTTCTGGCTCTGAACTGCTTCAACCTGAAACGACTGAGCCTGAAGTCCTGCGAAAGCGTCACTGGACAAGGCCTGCAGATTGTGGCCGCCAACTGCTTTGACCTACAGATGCTCAATGTACAGGATTGTGAGATCTCAGTGGAAGCTTTGCGGTTTGTTAAACGCCATTGTAAGCGCTGCATTATAGAGCACACCAACCCTGCCTTTTTCTGAAGTCAACTCCTAACTCTTTGTTGATGAAAGCAAAGTATTAGAAATGTTTGTATGGGCATATGCGCCTTGACTGTTTGTATACAATAACTGTACCTTCTTTGTACCAGGGAAGGGAACATGGAGCTTAGGGTCCTTAAACACTTCCAGATGGCCTTGTTCAAATTTTCTGAGTGCCAGTGACTTATACGTATGAAATTGTAACTCTCTAGCCTTATGGTCCCTGTGATATAGTTGAAGGCAAGGCAGTGGTTTGTATGTAGCATTCAGAAAAGGGAAGCCAAGTAACAGAAATCCCCATTTGTCCTTATTGTCAAATGTCATTTCATCCCAATCCAGAGAGTGTGAATTGTGATTATTGAAGGCCAAAGCTTGGAAAATGTATCTTTTTAGACTACAACTCCCAGAATGGAAGCTGCGAAACTGTAGGAGCTGTAATCCAAAAAAGTATTTCTTTTCCAAGTACTGTTGGAGGGAACGGGAAATATTAGTCATGTCCAGACTCAATATTTTTTTTAAAAAAAAATCAAGGTTACCTTTAGCTTCATTAGAACTGTCACGTCTCAATCCATTATCTCATTTGAGAGCCTGTCCAAGTTTGTTTGTTTTCTGCTTTGCTGTTACATTTTCGGTGCCAAAATTGTAGCTCAGAGAACAATGCCATCCTATCAGAGGTACAGTATATCAGAGCTGTGCTAATATATTAGCCATCACAATGTTACAAGTGTTACGAAATAGCCTTCGACACATGTGTGATTTTGCATATGACCCTCAGTGTTCCACAAGTTATCTTCAGCATTGTCTTTCAGTGCCCTATTTCCCAGGATCTGATCCCAGGTTTTCTGTTTATCTCAGATTATCTGGCAGTGTGGACTCATATAATCCAGTTTAAAGCAACAACACCTGGAATATAGGGCCTGTCTGGAAGGGCCCTCAGATGTCCTATCAAGAACTTATTGGTAAAAGAGGAGTTGTTTGAAGCCACCAGAGGCGGCCCTAGGTAATTTTCAACAGTAAGCAAACAGTATTTTGGCACCCCCCTCCTACCAATCACTGATATATATATATATATATATATATATATATATATATATATATATATATATATATATATATATGCATGCATACATACATACATACATACATACACACACATACACACATACACATACACACACAGAGAGAGAAGGGGGGCATGGACAAATTTTGGCCCTCTGGGTATTTTGGACTTCTTACTGGCTGTTTGGAATTGTGGAAGTCCAAAACTCATGGAGGGCCGAAGTTGGTCCATGCCATCCTCCTCCTTCTCCCGGCGGACCATGTCTCCCGGCAGCAGCGCTTTCTCCTCCTGAGGCTAAGGTGAGGCGAAGGAGGCGGCAGGAAAGAAGGGGGCCAGTTAGGCCCGAGGAGGAGGAGGCGACGACATGGCGACTCCCCTCTTTGCGCTGCTGCTGCTTCTTCTCAGTTGGGAGCAAGGCCACGGTGCAAAGTTCGCCTAACCACTGCTCTGTGAGCAAGACTAGGGCATTTACGGAGGCGCCTCAAGAGCGCTCTGGGCAAAATCAACTATACTGCAAATGCTTACTTTGCGTAATGGGTTGAGCCGCCCCTGGAAGTCACCTTCCTTTAACTCTTAGTGCGGCCAGGTTTCTGTCATCAGGAAAGAGCATCACTTTAGATATAATGTCCTTTTACATCAATATAATTTCAAACACACTATTCTAGACCTTCTTTCCTCTTCTATTGTTCACCTTAATTGGAGGTGGATTTCTGGGAGTCTTTCATGGCCGGAATCACTGGGTTGTTGTAGGTTTTTCAGACTGTATGGCCATGTTCTAGAAGCATTCTCTCCTGACATTTTGCCGGCATCTATGGCAGACATCTTCACAACCTCTGAGGATGCCTGCCATAGATGCAGGTGAAACATCAGGAAAGAATGTTTCTAGAACATGGCCATACAGCCCGAAAAACCTACAACAATCCAGATTTTCGGGAGCTTTGAGTTCCAAAACTCTCTTTTACTGTTCTAAAACAGGTCAAGCTAAAATAACTACAGCTGGCAATTCTGTTCTCTTCTCACCATTGCTTTGGCCTTATCTTTCTGTTTCATTCAAGTGACCAAGTGGAGAACCCATAAGACAGAGCTGGGGCACTGCCAAATGGTCATGAATTACAGCTATCTGTGTCATGGATGACTTTTCAATAACTTTAAAGCATAGGTTCTTTTTATTGCAATTTCCAGCGTGAGAGGGTACATCAGATTACAGGAAAACATTTAGACAAAGAATGACATTAGACATACAGATTCTATGCAACTACATTGGATTTACAATTACATGGCTAACTACCAAACAAGGGGGAAAATAGAGAAAGAAGCCCCAAAGTGACCAGACTGCTCCCGTGCAAATCTGTCACTTTCCATAGGTACACTATCTCTCTCCTTCCCATGGAGCAGAGCATAGCGGGTGGAACAGACTCCTCAGGTCTCCCACACTTTGAGCATTATTAGACTGAGTCTTTTATAGGAATATTTTGCTGATGTAGTCCCAAAGTTGTAAATTAATGATAGACATCATCCATGCTGGCTCCATCTCAGTTTCCTGGCCAGATGTAGATTCTTTTTGATTGGTGTTGATCTTATGTTGACTTCCTTCTTAACATTGTAAACATTTCTGTTATCACTGTCCCAAATCTTAGAGTTTACTTTTCAGATCTCATTACCAACTTTTAATTACAGTCCAGCAAGCACGTAGCTAGTCATTGCAGGCCTTAATATTATACTGGTGTCTCCAAAATTATTAGTTCCATCCATACATGCATCTTCCATTCTTCCATTCATTCCCACACATCATATTAAATCCGCATCTATCAAATCTGCACATTGAATTTCTTATTACATCTGTAGTATGGATTTGTGTCTGTACTGACTAGGGCTTCTGATAGTTGGGGCCCAACAATGTCTAGGTAGTTGGAGCACAATAACTGCTCAGTTTTTGCCCACCTCTCTAGCACTGACCGTGCTGTCTGTATCTTATTCTATATACTAGGAACAAAGTCTCTTTGAGACACATATGCCCTGAAGTACTCAAGGTTTGTTATAATTTTATTAACAAGGTCATGTTCCTAGATCAGCTACTTTGTGATACTAGACATTAATGTGTTTAATTAAATATATCAACGTTGTTGGGCTTCAACTACCATATATCCTAGCCAGCACAGTCAAGGGTCAAAATTACAGGTACTGTTCAGTGTTCATTATGCTGAGCTCAGTAGGGTTTTCTGGCCTGGCTTCCCTTTAGTATAGCTTTATTGAGCACCAGTTACTGTGCACGAAGGAAGTCAGTTGTCCCATTGATGTATGTTTTCCCTTCCCTCCAGTGTGACAGTCAGAAGCGTGATTCCTCTTACAATTCCTCATTGCCCCAGAAATCACTAGCAGGAGAGTTATGAAAACATCAATCTCCTGTTCCCCCATCGACAGGAAAACAGACCTTTGTTGTGTGGAGGGACTTATTGGAAAGGCAGTCAACTCATTGGACAATAGAAATCCTATTATAGTACTAAATTTTCTTGGAGGAAGAGAAAGGGAACTGTAGGTTTCATTAATGAAGTCCACATATTAGTCTCTTGTGGGGAAAAGAGGCACCATATGCTTTTCCTCCCTCAGTGGCTTGTTCTGTCAGAAAAGCCTCAACTTCAGCTGGATTGTAACATTTCATTGTTGGGGAGGCAGAGGCAAGCAGTGTTTTCCAGACAGTAAAGCAATTAACTTTTAAGGTTGTAGCCTCTGGGAACAGAAAATTGGGGTGCTCTACACTTTATTTCAAGGAAGCAGACTGGTTTGACAGGAAAATTGATATCAGTGCCATTACAAATAAGAAGGGCAATGCCCTCTGTGGATACTCATTAGTCAAAAAAGTGGTCCTACTCCAACCGTCTCCTATGAGCATGGGATTTCCAGACTGCTAAACCAGTGGAATCTTTTCCTTTTTTGTTCACCCTGATAACATTCCTCACAGATTTCTTTTATCGTGTCTGGAGTGACTTGAGAAACTGCAAGTCACTTCTGATGTGAGAGAATTGGCTGTCTGCAAGGGTGTTGCCCGTAGGATGCCCAGATGTTTTGATGTTTTACCATCCTTGTGGGAGGCTTCTCTCATGTTCCTGCATGGGGAGCTGGAGCTGACAGAGGGAACTCAACCCGTTCTCCCTGGATTTGAACTGCTGATTTATCGGTCAGCAGTCCTGCCAGCACAAGGGTTTAACCCATTGCGTCACTGGGGGCTCCTTCCTCACAGAACTCTTTGGATGTCCAGATAAAGCTAACAATCCTATTCTTTCATACCACATGTTCCATGTGAAGGACCTAAAAAGCACTGGTTTCACTCCAGAACAGGAATAGCCCTCTGACTTTAAAATGCCACATGTTGAGTAGGAAAAACAATCCTTTATATTGAAGATAAGTAAAAACAGCAAAGTAGAAAAAACACTTTAAGGGAATGGATAAATCCAATTAGGTTAGAAGATAAGCAGGAACAAATTAGTCCAAGATATGGTTCAGTAAAGTTAAAAAAAAATCCAGACTTCTCTAATAAAATCCAAAGAAACAGGGAAACGTTGATCCAAGGCATGAATAGGTAATCACAAGAGACAAAGAGTCAACCCATTCACCAAGAAATCCTTAAACATGTATCTTCCAGGCAAGGCTTTCATGAGACAAGAACAAGAACTTAGCAGGGATCTGAAACGATGCTTCATCTGACCATATTTCCCATGGCTGGAACTTTATACCCTCTCGTTAAGACTCGGAAATTGATTTCGTTTTCCCTGAAAGCCTCTCATCCTTATCTGATGAAGCCTGGCCAAACGCTGAAGGCCTTGGCCAAGCTGTCTGTTTTGGCTAATTTCCACCCGCCTGTCTATATGCTCATTAGTTTCTCCAGGTGCCAAGTTGTTTTCAACCCCCAAATCCTGGGGTAAACTATCAACGCTATACCCTGTAGGAACATTCTCATAGGAAACTACACTTTGAACTGGTGTCTTTCTCTGCATTAATGTCATTGACCAAACCATTGCCATCTTTACCCTCATTGACATTATTCCCCACATCTAAAGCACCTTGATCTTGAAACACTATCACAGGCTGAACTCCAACAGTACTCTCCTGAGGCTGCATGTGGTAGAGAAACATGTTTGCATTTAAGAGAAACAATGACCTTCTTTCAGAATTATTATTATTATTCTATTATAAGCACATACAATGGACCTGCTATGAGTATTTGATTCAAAAATCCCAAATGAGTGTGATCATCCTCTCCTGTTATTAAATAATGATTACAAGAACGTGTACACTTCAACATATCCATATTCACGTTGCCACTATTCAATAATATGGAATGTGATGATTTGCAGTAAGTAGGTAGAAATCATGGATCCAAAAGGCCCACGATATTAACGTACAGATTTTCAAAAAGCTAACTTTAAAAGTTGTCTTTGGAAAGCTAGGCACATTTTGTGCTCCTCCCCGACTTCCTTTCTTTCCAGGTGACGGTGTCATGGATACTGTGTCTTTTGGCAAATGCTCTCCTACTTTATGTCTGGCTCTCTGTCTGTCCTTGGATAGGAATACCAGCTATGGATGATTATATCTTCAGGTGGATTCCCTTGTGTGCAGTTGACAACTACTTTATGAGTAAAGCTCAGATGCTGAAAACATCTCTTGCAGAGTGATATGGGAAAGCAAACACTCTGGCTTGTTTGATTTTTTTCCCCCTTAAAGAAACAGAAAACTAGTAACTGTGCTGTTTCCAGATTACTTTATTCATGCGGCACAGATGTGGGGCACAAATCCTTGTATTAGAGAACAAAGAATATGGATGAACTACTGTAGTAATGCTCACTTGTAGGGTGGGACTATCAAAGTGTAGTCTCGGTGACAGTGGTGACTATGCAGTGTTCCCTCACTACTTCGCGGTTCACTTTTCGCGGACTGGCTGTTTTGTGGGTTTTTGCCTCCTAGTTTATTAAAGGTTGCT